TTTAAAGGGTTAATGGAGAAATTAGCTTTCTCCAAAAGGTGGATGGGCAATAGGGTGAGGATTTCACTCATTGGTTAGGGGTTCAAGGTAGAGTTGCTACTTCTCCACATTGAAAGGAGCCAGCTAAGCTCCAGATGGGCATCTCTTACCAGGAGGCGGCCCCAGCGTAGACCCGGGACACGCTGGAGAGATTACATCTATTAGTTATAATGCATGCACCACACTACTTAGTCGCAATTTAACATCAGTGTTTTAAGTGTTTTCCTTCTTCGTTGTCTGTCTGGAGTGTAATGTGTAAGGTTGATAATGCACAATGAGAGGTGCTGCATTGTTAAAAAGCATGATATACTATTGAAGAATGTGAGAAATGGTTTAAAATGCCTGTTTAGAGAGTTTGGGGCAATACATAAATATTAAAGTTAACTTACTATCAGAGTGCATATTAGCTTTGGAGTTGTCTGTTATTAGTTTTTGACATTCTCCATTAAACGTTCTCAAATTTCACTTGATATCTGAGCGTTTCTCAGTTTTAGTCTGGTGAGTTTACTTTTCGTCCCGCTCATTTAGGCGCCTAAGAAACTCGTCACAAAAACATCCCTAATACATACATTAGTGTTGTTTTCACAACTTCACAAGGAAATGAATAAAAAGTCCTGATGTCACTGAACTTATTGTGAACTTATTAAAATATCTTTAAAAGCTGAGAGTATTTTCAAAGTTTCACCTTCCAAAGCTTCTCTGAGGGGCTCCAGGAACCTTTCGAACTCCATCTCCTCCATTGCAGCCAAGACGTCTCCTGCATTCAGAGTTTTTCGCTTGGCCTTCATAGCAAAATTATTTGCGCTGAGGAGAAGAAAAAAAAAAGCAGGGGGGAAACAATAAAACACATTTAAACTGAAGCAGTTCTTTGATTCAGTGTTTGTGAATTAACATTCACATCATAGCATTCTTAGCTTGCTGCTGTGCTGGAAATTAGAATAAAAATTGATTTTATTGTCGTGCCAAAAGCACAACAAAATTGCATGCACTCTTGATAAACTTTTATTCTATGTATAAAAACAAATTTAAAAAGAGAATTTTGAATAAATAAAGTACAAAAAATATATATATATATTAGGGGTGCAACGATACTCGTATCGATATTGAACCGTTCGATACAGTGCTTTCGGTTGGGTACGCATATGTATCGAACAATACAGCATTTTTAATTTATTTTATCAACTTTCCTTCTGACGATGCTGTCTGTGTTGAGCGCTCAGTGGATCTGCATTCGACTACTCCGCCTAGGCTGCACTGTCGAGCGCAGATCCACTGAGCGCAGGGCAAGCTAGCAAGACAGAAGCTAAGCTTGTTGCAACATGGCAAATTGAACCTCCCCCACCCTCATTCAGATCTGGCGTTTGGAACTATTTTGGTTTTCATGTGAAGTATGACCCTGAAGGTAAGCGCGTCATGGACTAAAGTAAAACAGTATGTCGAATGTGCCACGCAATGTTCAATTGTTCTCACCGTCCAGCCTCACGCACGGGACGATTTGCCGTATTATGGCATTAACCTCATTTCAGATTAACGCTGACAGCACTAGTGGGAACACAACGAATATGACTGCACATTTACTCCGACATCATCCTCGTGCAAAGACAAGTGGAAGCAGACAAAAACAACAAGCACGCATGCTACAAACTTTACCCGAGTCATTTAGACAGCCGTTAGCACATGATTCTCCTTATGGGGACCTGATATGTTTAACATGCTGCTGAGAATATAGCCCAGAAGAAGCGTATAGTATAGCTTTTATTTTGGAAAGAGCTATTTCTCTGTAATAAACTCTCTTTTCCAAAGATGAGGGATTTCTCCATCAGATAGATTTATTATTTTATTACTTTGTTGTTTCAGCAACAATAAATTTAAAAACTGTACTTTTGAGTTAAAATATATATTTATAATTTTAATAAATGACAAATTAAAAAAGCATGAACATTTTTTTGTATCGAAAAAATATCGAACCGTGACACCAAAGTATCGAACCGAACCGTGAATTTTGTGTATTGTTGCACCCCTAATATATATATGTGCATGTATGTCGGAGTCATTATAATTTAGGGCTGGGCGATATGAGGAAAATGTAACATCGCAATTTTTTTTGTGTGTGGCTGTACCGCAAAACATGATATATTTCGCGATATGTCTTGAGCCCCAATGCCCCCTGTGGGCAAAGGGGCTGAGCTGCAGTGTAAGCCTCAGTGAAGTCAGGTTTTTTTTTTGTTTGTTTGTTCTTTTAAAGAAAATCTCAGCATGTGTGGTCCACAGAAACCTCAGAGTCTCAGCTTCTTGCAGATAGCCGTTGTAGCTCATATGACAGCGGGTTTAAAGTTGTCTTTGGTGTGTGGGGAGACGTTCACATGCCGAGTTTAAAACAGTCTTGGATGACTTTTCAGCTGGTGGAATAATTTCGTGGTACTGCTACCTTTTGCGCCAATAGTTTTACGGCATGTTTTGCAAATTACCGTACTTTGACATATTTTTCTCTATATAAATATATATAAACACGCATGCTCAGAGCATTGGGCCGTGTTGGGCGGGGGGGGTTAATGAAGAATTCACAACATGTGAGAGGAAATAAAAACTTAAATGCAGACAGCTTAATATTTCCATGGCAACCTATACTCGATGGTTACGTTTAAGCCATTTTAACCATCATACGTGGAAAAACTCGAGATACAGCAAGTATATTCGAAATATCGCCCGCCCCTATTATAGTTGCTAAAATAAATAAATAGTGGTCACATTATGTAAATGGGATTTATTACTTCTTACCAGGAGGTGGCATACAACACAAACACACTGGCTGCCTGGGATATGGCTCTTCTTGCTTCTTTTGACACATTCACCCCATCTGGGAGCTGTTGAAAATAAACATTACAGAAGTGTTATCTCAACGGTGCACTACATACACATTATCAGAAAACACAGTCAGCCAACAAAGGCCCATAAGGGCTTGGCCAGTATTGCATTAAATTATTTTTTCATGAAATAACAAGCAAATGAAGCTGCATCTGGAGACGATTCCAAGTGTTGAACTTCTATTTGGTGGTTGTTCACCAAAACACAATATGAGGTCCAACATTGAGCCTGACTGATATATCAGTCAATCAGTATCAATACCCGCCAATAAAGAAACAAGGGACAAGAGTAACATCATTTAACCTGGTTATAAGAGTTGATGTTACGAAATTTGCCCACCTGAGGGCACTTTGCATCTTCCCTGTTGGCAACGCCATAACCATAACCATAACCAGCTGAGTCAGGCAGAGCATAATAATTCACAACCTTTTAGTCACAGCATAACCTGCTCAGCCTGCAATAATCATTTATCTTTTCTCCAACAACAATCATAATTATTGATAGTCTAGTTCTATAAGTACAGTGGAACCCCGACTTACGAATACCCCGTTTCCCAAAAAATTCAAGTTACAAAGGCACTGAACGGCAATATTTTTGCCCGTGTTACGGCAAAATGCCCGAGTAACAAAATCCGCTGGCTCTGATTGGCTGAGCCTACAATGCTTCGCTGTTCCACTTGAACGACGTATTGTTGTTCTAGTTAGCAATTAGCCTATAGCCTATCGTTCAGCATCGCCTCAGTCAAAAAGGCACGATGGGTGCTTCCACTTACGAAAATCTTCGACTTACGAAAGGAACGAATTAGTTTCGTAAATCGGGGTCCCACTGTAGTTCTGTCTCGAGCTGTGCAATTCTTATCCATGCTTCTCTGCATTGATAATGCAACACATTTCTGACTGCTTTACTTTTTCGAGTGGTGACTGTGACGTTACATAAGGGTGATCGCCATTGAACATAAAAACAAACAAAAACAGAGAACGTAATGTAGCTTACATTCACAGGTGATGATGAATATGAAAATCAAAACAACTGGAATTTATCATAAATGCTTTAAAAAAAGAAAGCATATAGATGTCAATAACCTGCGTATGTGTACAAAGTTTTGTTGAGACAGGCCCATTAGGTTAGGAGATAATATACTCAGAGACATATATGCTTACATATGCTATGCTTGTTACAGTAAGGTATAATGATAGCAAACGTGGCCATTAGGACTCATTGTGGAGATGGAATCTATATACATTTATATCCCTCTATATAATTACGGTACCAGATGTGCTTTCCAGTATTTGCCAAAAATGATCGGTCGGGTCAGCCGGTTTACTGATTACGAGGTTATTTGTGGTCTTATCTCCTCTTGCTTTTGAGCAGAACTGTATCTTGGATTTAAATAAATAAATAAATATATATCAGGCCACAACCAACATGTAAACTCATTCTTAGATGAGGGTTCCTCCTGTCACTATGGTCTATCAGCTGAGTCAAGCCGGTGAATATTCCTCCAGAGCTCAGACTGTACGGAAAATCTTCATGTAGGAAAAGAGGGAGAATGGGTGAAATTCGAAGGCGACTCAGGTACACAAACCTTAGAGACTGCTATAAGCTTAACAAGCTATAAGCTTGACTCACTTAAACATGAAATGAGGAACACTTGTGTACTGGGGCAAGGACCTACAGCTGACAAGGTTTGGTATTCCTTTTCATCTGGACCGTAAAGCAGAGACTACCAACAAACAACTGTCCCTTAAGCAGTAAGTGGCTCTATGGTTTTATTCCAACTGCACTGAAACACAAAAATCCAGCTGTTAGTTGTAATGGTTGGGTGTGTAAAACACTTTATAAATGGGGCCCGTGTGAAGGAGAGCCTGTCTGAATCGGGTGACAGGTCGTTCCCTGGCTGGAGTCAGACTGATTTACACACAGCGTAGTGAGGAAAACCTAAAGTGTTGGACTTCAAATTGTCTGTCTGGTGACTGGGCTCTCCTCGCTGTTCTCATTTATAATGTGCTTTACAAATCCTAACAGCTGGATTTTCCCATGTGAGTGCAGCTAGCCAAACAACAACATCGCAAACATAAACTAATTTAAGTCTGTTAGCCGCAAACAACCAACCCAGTAATGTCAAGTTCTGTAATGACAAGCTGATGTGTTCTAAAAACTTTAAGCACTTGTGTCTTAAATCCAGCTTCACAGGCAGCACTACATCTATTAGAGGTGGGAATCACCATACATCCCTCAATACGATATTATCACAATACTTAACGCACGATACGATATTATTGCAATTTTTTAAAATATTTTGCGATATTCAGATTCTGTACATAAAGGTAAACTTTATCAATATTCATTTTATCTAATATCAAAGTCTCACACTCAGTCTTTCTCTCATTTCAGTTTTATTGTTGACAAACTGAACGGTTTGTATTACAGTCTAGTCCAACTTAACTGAATCAACCATCTGGTACAATTATAGCTATTCTGAACTATGCAGTTTATGAAAACTATGCAGCCCCTTCAGCAACTGAAGAATTTGAAAGTAAATTAAAACAAAATATAATTTTACATTAAATTAAAAAGTTTTAAACTTAATTAAAATAAAACATGTCTTAAATTAAAATAAGTAAACTGTCATGTTTATTGCTGCCAAAAAAAAGTTAAACACATTTGGACAGTGAAGGAATGTCAGGATTCTTGCTCAGAAAAAGGATCAACATGCTCTGAAGTCAGAGTAAGGAAATGCCAAATATTATAGACAAAGTTATAGAAATCACCACTCCCATCGTTCATCATGATTTTAATTTTTTTTTTTCAAAACAAAGAAATACGCCTTGAAACGAATATATTACACATTAATATTCCACTAGTGTTGTAACATCACATCCTGTTAGCATAGTCTGCCTGTGTTTTCTCTGGAAATGAACATTTTGATCCAATAGAGACAATACATCAACATGGCTGGAGAGAGTTGGTAGTTATATACAGTCTGTATAAGTGTGGTTAATTTAACAAACACTTGTAAGGATATGGCAGTTACTGTGAATTTACAGCAGTTAGACAGTGATTAGTAATAAACAGCGCCAGTGTGATTGAGTAGAGCTCAAGTGTGTCAGTTAGTTTGTCATGTGTTTTTGAGTGTTGAGGTGAGTTATATTTTTTGGTTTAAAGCTAAGTTAAGAATATTCATAATTTAATTTCCAGAATTTTCACATGGTGCAAGTGACGACTGACGTATCACATAGCAGCTGGAGCAGTCTCAAATGGAGTTCAGTCCACTACGGCCACCTGTGGCCAAGTGCCATAGCCTACCACCAGATTAACTTGTAACACAGCTGCAGTAGAGGCTGAGCAGCTGCACTTACACCTGGAGCATTCAAGTCGACCCACAAACATGTGGAAAGATGCAATGCCAGCAACGTGGATTGTCAGGACTAAAACCAGTCATTACGCAAAGACAACAGGAATCTTTTTTTCTGTTTATTTAGCATTCGGAACATTTGTAGTTGCCTTCAGTACAGGGCAAGTCCAAAAAAACCCCAGAAACAATTCACAGTAACTGCCATCTCCTTACAAGTGTTTGTTAAATTAACCACACTTCAGATCAGACTGTATATAACTACCAACTCTCTCCAGCCATGTTGATCTATTACCTATATTGGACCAAAATGTTGATTTCCAGAGAAAAAACACAGGCAGACTATGCTAACAGGATGTGATGTTACAACACTAGTGAAATTCTAATGTGTAATATATTTGTTTCAAGACATATTCCTTTGTTATGGGAAAAAAATTAAAATCATGATGAACAATCGGAGTGGTGACTTCTATAACTTTGTGTATATAATTTGGCATTTCCTTCTGATGTAGGCCAAAAATAAATACATAATACCATTTCATGTAGTTTAAAGGTTTATTTGCAAGACACACAAACAGAAAAAAATGAAAGTTACAAACGTATTGTGCACGAAACAAATTGAAACGTGGTGCAGATGTGTGTTACAAGTTAATCTGGCTGTAGACTATGACACTTGGCCACAGTTGACTCGACTCCATTTGAGTACACACAAACTGCACGCTTTAGTTGTGAAGCGAAAACGCTGAAATCGGAGTAATAAACGTACGAGGGGAACGATAACGAAGACGAGATTCTCCAGATCGTTTACTCTTGCTGTCTTGTGAACAGCATCGGCGAGGTGACGTTTATTTGTTTGCTGTTTTTGCGGTCACCTCGTGCACGAGAATATCACCAGGTAAACTCGCAACATTTTTAAATATCTTGTTGTTCACGAGCAACAGGACGGACTGTGTTTGAGGTAACCTCACAAATGTCACAGATGAACTATTTAGTGTTTATTTGCTGGTTTGTCGGTAGCGGCTCCTGAAAACAAAGTCTGCCACACGTCTGTTCGACCGTCACCAGTTAATTCGCGACGCCAGATAATCTGGAACACCGGCGAGCTGATCGATGGTGTCGTGAGGGAAATGTCACCACGTTATTTATGTTACAGAAAGACAGCGGACGGAACATCTGAAAAACGGAGAGTGAAATACGTAAACAAATCTAACCGGTTAACGTAAAAACAGTTAATCTGGGTCACCGGCGACCTCCCAGAATTGCGTCGTGTATTTGTTTAGCGTGTTTAACCATCCCCGGCGTGTATAAAACAAAAAGACCAACCGCGCGCGCGACATTGTGACTGCTACCGTGTGTCGATGTTCACTCACCGCCTCCTTGATGATGCGGGTGATTACCGCGTTGGGAAGGTTCAGGTCTTCTGGCCTCTCTGCCATTGTTCTCACTGTTTAATGTGCATTTATCTGGGTCCGTTGTATGTGCGCCGCTGTTTCCGCCGTCCTAGGAGAACAGATTTAGCCGTTATCGTTGCTAAAAGGCTGTGGAGGACTGTTACCGCTAAGCTAACCGATTAGCGTCGTTGACAATGCTGTGTGCGTGGAGCTCCTCAGTTAAGCAAGCCAACGTTAAAACTCTCTCCGTTTCAGGGCGTACGTTCAATGAAGACACTGATATTTTATCTGGTAAGTCTGAAAGGTTAAACTACAAACTCCGGTTGAAGTTGTACGCGTTCACGTCAGAGCCGACTTGTTTTCAGACATTTCCCGCGAATCTTCCAACTACCACGAAGCTCCTACGTCAGCAATAAACTTCGACCTCTGACCTTCTTGTGACGTATGTCCGCTGTTGACCATTGACTGACATCTGATACAAGCAGGGAGCAAAGCACTGAGCAGCATATCAGTCAGCATATAAAAAATGCCATAAATTTAATCAGTTAGGCTGGAATAATTTGTTTCTAGTGGCTTCTATTGTAAGTGCTCCATATTTCAACATGATATTCTGTATGTGTCCTACACTGAGGACATTTGAAGCTGGTATTTTCTTAGAATGGAGCTAAAGATAAAACCAAACAAACTTTCATAAGAGATCTTCATTCTGCAATAAGGGATATTCAGAACTTATAATGTTATCATTAAAAATATTAAAATGTGAAATAATCATCAATCTTGAACAAATCCAAATAATCTGTTTATGCAATACCAGGTGCTGTAATCTACACACAGACATCAGAGGGCGCTGCTGCTCACTCAGTGGAGACAGCATCAACACAAATATCAATTAGATCTTTACAGTTGGGGATTTTGCTTAGAAAAACTACAAATGACAGTTTAAATATTGAAACTAGTCTTTTAGACAGTTTTCTAGTAGAGGTTTGGGTTATGAGTTTTACACAATGAACACTTTCATAGATGCTGCAATGTCAAATTCTTCATGTGTGTACATGCACAGACCACATGTGCATACTGTTGTGCACAT